TCCGAACTAGCTGTACTCCTCATTCCACGAGGAGTACAGCTAGTTCGGATTAGGAAGCCTAATCCGAACTAGCAACTCCGTGCCGCGTGTAGCTGCGCGGCACGGGGTTCGAACTGCCGGCATTTAAAAATGGCGCCGGCCGGCTTCATGCAAATGAAGCGCGGGAAATTCAAATCCCGGGGTTCATTTGCAAGTGCGGTATGCCTACATTACCCTCCTAGTTCGAATTAGGAGGGTAGTGTAGACATACCCTATGGTATTCCGACTCCTTTTTAAAGATAGTGTTGTATGTTGCAGGATTTGAAATGTTATACAAGATTCATAGCTTATCCCATATTTCTCCCATCTAGAGAAAAACATTTTCATTACAAGTAATTCATATAATTTTTTTAAAATTATAATTTGTCTTCAACTGTTTGAACATCTAAAAATTGTGTAAATCTAGTTAAGTAGCCTAACCACACTATCGTGAGTAACATCATATGACAAATTACTAATTATAAATATCAGGTGGAATTTACTGGACACTCCTGTAATATTACTTTTCTTGTTATTTTCCTAGACATCATTTGGAAAGTTAGAACGTAGGTCTGAAACAATGCTGAGCAGTTATAAATGTACTAAATCTTCATATTTTACATTTTAAATATATATTAAATGTACACATCTATTACTGTAATAAATCATCTGCTCCTCCTGTTGTTTTCTTCATCTGAAGACATAGAATCAAAGGACTGGACGGGATCTTGCAAGGTCATCTACTTCAGTCCCTTGCACTGTCCTAATCCTCTGACAGGATAATCAATTCATACTAACTGCGATGTTAGATGATTATAAGACGTCAGATGGAGAACAGGAAATAGTGAAGTTAGTTGACAGAAACCAGATATTTTATTTTCATGTAAAAATCTGTTTTTTAAAATGCCAACTATCTGAAATATAAAATGTTCTTGAACTGAATTTTTCAAAGGTTTAAAATTCCACAAAAGTTAAAGAAAGCACAATAAAGAAATAAAGAATAATACAGAAAATACAATAACGAAGAAAATGCAAAAGTAACTTACTGTTATTGCAAGTGTTTCATTCTTGTGGTCAAAACTCATTTTTCCAGAGTAAGATCGCTGTCGCAGTAAGAAGTCAAAATAGAACTTGCATCGTAAAGTAAGGCACCTTTTCAGATAAATTATGCAAATAAACAAATCAATGCTCTTTAAAAACAATATACAGGCAGTCCCCGAGTTACGCGGATCCGACTTATGTCGGATCCGCACTTACGAACGGGGCTCTCTCACCCCGGAGCTCGCAGGCAGTAGGACCACCCAGAGTGCAGCGGTCCCGCCACCTCGACTTCTGGGGCGAGAAAAGCTGCTCCGGGTGCCCCTGGTCTGCTGGGGACCGTCTCCAGCAGACCAGGGACACCTGGAACAAAGCCTCAGAGGCGCGTGACCCCTCCGCCTCCCCGGCTTTGCTCCGGGTGTCCCTGGT